CAAGAGACATGTTGTGATGATTGGGGTGTCAGGCTGCAGTGGATCCGGCAAGACAGTGTTGGCGAATCGCCTTGTGGAGCTTTTAAACTCGCCGCTGCGGCCAATTGCTATTGAAGATTTTTTTGACGAGGCCACATGTGAAGCGTTGGGCACATGGGAGGACCCACGTTGCATACGCAGCAGAGACTATGCGAGGTTTCTTTGTGAGATTCGAAAACGGCTTCAGAGCGATGGTCTGTCTGCCGCTGAATGTCTACAAGATCTGGTCGGGGCGTCTGCATTTTTGCGCTCTCAGCCTGCTGGGTCATTGGCGACAGTCTCGTCTCGAGACTCCCCTTTAGATGCTTCATCCAGAGAGCATTTGGGGGAATTTGCGGCGTCATTCCAATACACCACGGAGGCTGTGGCTTCGAGTGAACGGTGCGAAAATAAAGAGACCATATATGTTGTGTGCGAGGGGTTTCTTTTGTTTTTGGATCAAACGGTGTGCGATGCGTTGGATTATTTTCTTCTGATTGACATTGACGAAGAAACGGCTTCTCTGAGGCGATTTTTGCGTTTGCCTCGTCGTCATTTGCGCCATCAAGGCTATACAGAGCGTATTGAACATATGTTTCGTTCTCGGAAGAGTCTTTTGCGACTTGCCGCTTCCAATACAAGTCATGCGATGCTTCCTCCATCTTTTGCGTATTTGCTTTCAAACCTGCAGTATGTTCCTCCGTTGCCTTCCGTGACGGGTGACTATGAGCGGTTTTGGTTGCAGCGGGAGTATCTGCAGCATTCACCTCCAATGCCACCAACTGGTGATAACGGCAGGCACGCGGCGTCGCCGTACGCATGGATGGAGGTGAAGGATCCACTTTACGTCACACGTACACTGCAACAGTCACGATTGGCTAAATCTGATGGGAATGAATTGAAGAACACTACTCTTTCTTTTGATTTTGATCAAATTACTGTTGATGATGTGACGACTAATGGGGCTTTGAATATTGACAGGATTTCCATTTTACAAAAGCAATACTTTGAGTTTCGCTACTGGTTCTTCTATGAGGTTTTGTACTACCATCGTCAACTGTCGCCCTTGGCTCAGGAGAATATTACCGGAACGTGCCAGCGAAGGTCTTGTGGAGAGGATGCGTTTTGCCCTATTGTGCATGTAACTTCGGGTGTGGATGTGCCGGATGCCAAGTTGGATGAGGCGCTACTCTCATTTGTACATTACGTCATGCAGCCGCCGTAAAGTGGTGACATTTGTAACGCCAGGATGCGATATATATATATATATATATATATTCCTATGATGTAATTGTCCTTTTATTTTGTCTGGTGTGCGACTGTTTCTCTGCCTGTTATTGTTTTTATTTATTTATTTATTTTCTTTCTTTCTCACGTGATGACATCTCCATGCGTGCATTTACTTCCCCTCCCTCTCCACTTTTTTCTTTTTTTTCCTTTTTTTCCATTTTTTTTTTTTTTTTTTTTTTTAAAGGAAACAAAAACGACAACAAATAATTGTGACGCTGAAGCGCAAGAATAAACAAAGAGGAAGAAAGGAAAGAAAAAAAGAAAATAATAATAAAAAAAAACAAAAAAACAAAGACAAGGGTTGAATAAAAACAACATCATCTAAACATGCATTCGGTGCCTGCGTACAATGCGTACTACTGGGTGGAGAGCCACGACAGCGGCTGCCTGCGTTTCTTTCGTGCGCTGCTGATGGGGATGAATATATTACTGACAGCCGGAGCTGTTGCAGGCCTTGCCGTTGGTTTACTGGAGCGCAGCACAATGGAGAAAACATTGAAAAACTTATGCCAGTCCTGTCAAGCAATTTTCATTGCGTACATTTCCGTTTTCAGTGGACTTCTTCTCTTTTCACTTCTCGGCTTCTTTGCACTTTGCACCCGTAACACTTTATTGCGTGTGTTGTATTTTATTTATCTTTTTGTGGTGTTTTTGGGTGCCTTCAGCAGCTCCATTGCGTACGTTCTTGTCAGCACGGATCGAGTGAACCTGCAGACGGGTTGGGATAAATCTGCCGTGAGTAATGCGGAGGGGATGTGTTCACTGGAGTTGCAGTTTCACTGTTCTGGCTGGAAGGAGCTTTGCAACACCTCAAATATGGAGTTTATGAACCCCTTGATCCGAAAAAGAAAACAGTTGTCATTGGGAGAAGGGGCATTGAGGGATGTAAATACGGCTGAGATGTTGTCTCATACTTCGAATAACAACTCTGATTCTAAAATCATCTGCCCAACCTGCAGTGAGGAGGATCAAAAGGAAATCAATGGATACAACGTGACATGTGAATCCGTTGTGATGGGGACAATCAAAGAACATTTGAAGGAAGTACTACCGATTGGGCTATCCATCACAACTATTGCTCTTCTTGGAATGATCGTGACATGTCTAATACAACATGAAACAAATTACGAAACATATTACGGCGGCCGTTACTACCGTGTGTAACGGTGCGAACCGACATTACGTGCAAAAAAAATATATATAAATACACATGAGTGTATTTTGCTGCCCACGCTGACCTTTCTTGTTGTCTTCTCCCCCCCTTTTTTTTTTTCTTTGAGTTTTGTTTCTTATTTTCCATGTTGTTGTTTTTGTTGTTTTTATGTGAGCTTTTTACGTATCTCTCGAATGCGTTTATTATTATTGTTTTTTGTTCCCCTCCCCTCGTGTGTGTCTATCAATCTGTGTTTGCATGCATGCATGTATGAAATGCCACCATGTGCACACAAACACTCACACACACTCACACACGCTCCCTGGTGATTTGTATGCAGACATTTGTGTGGGCGAATGCCTTCGAGAGCGCCGGCGAAAGGAGATTGAGAGGGAGTGAGGTGGAAAAAAACAAACAAACAAACAGAAAAAAAAAAAAAAAAAAGGGGAAATGACTGAAATATAAAAAAAAAGAATGAAATTGACGATTAAAAAAAGAAAGGAAAAAAGGACGTGCGGAATTCAAAGACAAAAGCGAAAAAAACGAACAAACAAACAAAAAAAGAAGGATAAATTGACTGAAGGTGCAGGAATGCTGGCGATCCAAACACACGAAAGGAAAGAAAAAAAAAAAAAGGGAAAAAAGGGACTCCCTTAAAAGAACAACAGACACACACAGAGAGACAGAGAGAGACAGAGAGGGACACATGGAGGACGGAAAAGGGGAAGAAGGCAGTGGAAAAAGAGGGCAAGAAAGAAAGACACTTCGTTAATATAAATATGTGAGTGTACATGTCTCTCTGTGTCTCTCTGTGTGTGTGTGTGTCTCTTGTTCTTTTAAGGGAGTCCCTTTTTTTTTTTTTTTTTCTTTCCTTTCGTGTGTGCGTGTGGCCTTCATTATTATTATTATTATTATTGATCCATCGCTGCCGTTGTAAGCGTCATTGGCGTTGAATTGGATTATTGCGTGTGAGTTTATTTTACTTTTTTTTTTCTTTTTTTTTTTCATCTTCCCCCCCCCCCCC